GCACAGCGTGGGCGTCCGACCACCACGGACCTCAGCGCCGGCCAACCCCACCACACGCTGCGGAGCCTGCCCCTTTGACCTCTTCTGCCTGGACCACGGCCCGCCCCGACATCACCTGGTCAGACACACTGGAAACGAGCACGGTGCCGTCACCGGCTCGGTGCCGCGCAGGCTCGGTGCCGCGCACGGTCCGGACGCTCCTGTGCTCTGCCCCTTCCGGGGCCTTCCCAGCAGCCCTGCCCCCTCCCGCCTCATGGGGAGCCAGGATGCAGGCTGGATGGTCCATCCTGCCCAGAGGGGCCCAGGGCCCGCTAGTCACCAGGCCGCGCAGGCCACAGCACGGGCAGAGCCCCGGCCACGGAGGCGGTCAGGCCATCTGCGCCCGAGTGCGTTTGCAGACGCCACTGCTGCAGCCCCCGCGGTGCAGCCCCATACCCTCCTCACTGCTGACCCCCAGCCGCCGGCAGGGCGCCGAGAGCCGCATGCACGGTGTGCTGGGAGCCAGTTGAGGCCAACACACCCCGCGGTTCTGTAAACGTCCCCAAAACGCCGCAGTCTCCAAGAACCACAAGCAACTATAAATCCAGGCATGACTGAGGAGCAGCGCGTGCTGGCCCAGGAGCCGTGGCGGCCGACCGCAGCCCACCCCACGTGGCCAGAAGCCGCTGTCGCCCCGAGCATCCATGCAGAAGAGCCAGCTAGATCCAGAGGGCCCTGCCAGGCCCCTCCCGCCCTCAGGACACGCCCGTCTCGGGGTGAGCGCAGGGCAAGGTGGCCCGGACGGCAGTACGGGTACACCCCAGGGTCAGAGCCACCAGCAGACCCCAGCCACCCCCGCTCACAGGGAAGGTCGCAGTGCACGGCCTCCAGGGGGTTGGGCAGGGTCCCCAGCAGGGGCAAGGCCTGTCGTGGGCATGCTGGGGGGGCCCCTTCTTTGCACATCTGGCTGCTTCCCCCAGATACCCACTCCTGCCGCCCCAGGCCTCAGGGACCCCAGAGTGAGGCCTCGTGTCCTCAAGGCTCACATGCAGAGGAAAGGGGCGTGTGTGACGCGTGGTGGGCCCTTTCCATGGCCCCCGCAGACACCCCCCTTTGCCTGGATCACTCCCCCCACTGAGCTCTGAGGCCAGCTAAGTCCCCTGCCCCAGCCTGGAGATCCGCTCAGCCCTCCTGCCTGTCCCCTAAGGCTCCCGGACCAGCCAGGGCTGTCACCACCCAGCCTGGGAGTGCCTGGTGCTTTGGTCAGGGTGGGATTTGGCCTGACCCCTCCTCCCCCTCAGGAAGCCTTCCCTGGGCAGGCCCAGCAGCAGCTCAGGCGGGAGGCCCAGAGACCAGGCCACGCTCCCGGGCCCCAGGTGCACCTGGTTTTGCGGGCCGAGGAGAGCAGAGACTCAACATCCTCTCCCGCCTGGCGGGGTAGCTCCACGCTGAGCACAAGCCCATCAGAGCCTCAGGTGGGCCACGTTCTCCTCGCCCAGACATCTCAGGACTAAAAATAAAGGAACGCTTGTCGGCACGGGACCCGCGAGAGCCGCCTGCAGCGCACGTTCCTCGCATCAGCTGTGCCGAGCGCGCCGCAGCCCGTGGGTGGAAACACAAACATTGGCATCTAAAAATACTGGTCCCGGAGGGGGACACAGCTCCCCCCTCCCCGCTGCCAGGGAGAAGACACCGTCCCACCCACCCTCAAGGGTTCGGGAAACAGCAAGGTCTGCAGGGACGGGCATGGAGGGAGCAGTGCCGCGAGGCACAGCAGGGCTCCCCGGGCACTAGGAGACAGTGCCCTGCCGGCACGGCTCTCCTGAGGCCGGCGTCTGCGGGGCCCACCCACACGCCCCCACCTGGCTCCAGGCCACTTGCCCTGTCCACCACAGCACCAAGGGATCGCCAGCTCTGGCCACTCGGCGGAAGTGCCCGTCCCCCAGGGAGGCACCAAGAGCTGGCCCTGCCGGCCCTGCCCGGCACCCCTCACCCATACACACGTCACCGCATGTGCGCTGCAGCCCTGCCGGCTGGTGTCTCCACGTGGATACCACCCCATGTGGCCATGAGCACTCATGGGCTGGGAAGGTGGCCACACGCCCCGCTCAGAGAACCCCCAAAGACTAGCTGGGCTCACCAAGGTGGCAACGCTCAAGTCCCCTTCCACAAGGAGCTGCAGGTCCCCAGGGACCGCCTGCCCTTAGGCCTCTGAGGGGACACACCATGCTGTCAGAGCCAAGCCCGAGCAGGGGAAGGGCAGCACCCAGACTCCGAGGGGTACTGCCTGGCTGCCTGTCCCCCGACGGCGTGAACACCATGGATTCTTCACAATGGAAATCAAAACAGACACACTGGTCTCTAGGACGCTCTGGGGATGGAGGGCTGCACCCGTGGACAGGGGCCTCTGGACCTTGGGCAGGCGTGTGCAGAGGTGTATGTGTGCGCAGGTGTGTGGGTGCACATGTAAGTGTAGAGGTGTACTTGTATGCAGATTCATGTGTGCAGGTGTGTGTACTGGTGTGCATGTGTGAAGGGTGTACACAGGTGTGCACAGGTGGAGGAGTGTGCACAGGTGTGTATCTGTGAAGGATGTGCCGGGGTGTGTGCACAGGTGAGTGAACAGGTGGAGGAGTGTGCACAGGTGTGCATGTGTGACGGGTGTGCACAGCTATGTGCACAGGTGAAGGAGTGTCCACAGGTGTATATCTGTGAAGGGTGTGCCAAGGTGTGTGCACAGGTGTGTGCACAGGTGGAGTGTGCACAGGTGTGCATGTGTGACAGGTGTGCACAGGTGTGTGCACAGGTGGAGGAGTGTCCACAGGTGTGCACATGTGAAGGGCGTGCAGAGGTGCATGGGCAGGGGTGTGTACACATGTGGAGGTGTGTGCCCAGCCCACAGGCTGGCTGTCGGGAGGAGGACCTATTGGCGACAGGGGTCCCACCTTTTTGGCCTCTGCCCTGCGCCCCAGCTTTCCGGACGGGGGCAGTGTGGAGACGGAGAAGTCATTCGGGTCTTCACAGTCCCGAATCTTCGACTCCTTGATTAGGGAATCCAGTTTCCTCTTAGCAATGTTTTCCACGCGCTTCCGGTTGGTGGAGGCCTGCAAGAGCAGAGGTCGGCCGATGGCATCCGTCCCCAGCCCCGCAAGCAGCAATGGTGACGACCCGAAGTGCACTCGCGCCCCCTGTGTTCACTCGCCCAGGCTTGTGGGGCCCGCGACTCGCTCAGGGCCACGGGCAGCCTTGAACCCCGGCCCACAGGGGCCCAGCAGACAGCGCGTGTGGCGCCTGGCCCAGTGGGCAGCACAGGACGCGGGATCCCATCAATGGCCACACGTGGCTCAAGGAGATGGCAGGGCAAGGGGCAGACTTCAGGGCAGCCGCCCTCCCTTGTGTGGCCGGATGGACCTGGAGCCCAGAGGGCCTGGGCCCTGGGCATCCGGACAACCCCGGAGCAAGGGCAGAGCGGGCGCACGGTGGACGTCGCAGAACGTGGTTCACCGTCACCCTGGACCTGCTGGAGACGCGGCCACCCGCAGCTGGGAGAACGCTGCTGCCTTGGGGCTTTCGAAAGCAAGGACCCAGCTGTGGCCGGGAAGCTCCTGCCCAGTCATTCTCCCATCGCACGGCCCCCGGGGAGAAGCAAAGTCTTCGCTGCCTTGCAGCAGCAGAGGCTCGGAACAGCGCCCAGAGGCGAGAAGACGCTGATTGCGGAGTCCCCGAGTCCCTGAGGCCCTCCCTGTCTTCCCAGCCCCAGCCCCTGCGGCCAAGCCAGCTGCCCTGAGAATGTGGTGACAGCCCTCTGTGCAGGTGACCACAGGCGGGACCCCTCATCAGGGCTGGCCTTGGAGGAGGGTGGGTGCTGGGGGACGGGGGTGGCCAGGACCGGCCAGCGGTATGGGCGGGGGTGGGAATGGTATGGAACCCTGGGGGCCGCCATCCACCAGGGCTGCCCCTGCTGAGGAGCCAAGAGGACTGGGCAGCGCCGACGGACAGCACCCCAAGAGTCAGCTCAGAAATGGGAACCGACACAGGCCACCAGCAGGTGTGTGGTCGGCCTGCTGGCTGGGAACACAGGCTTGGTGCCCGCCATGTGCAGGGGCGCGGCGGGCGGGCAGGAAGGGACCCCAGGCCCAGCACACCCTCAGCGCCCACACGCAGCCCCTCTGCCCCGGCCGCCTCCCTCGCCCAGTCGCCCAGACAGCAGGACGAGAGGCCGCTCCGCGCTGCAGGGCCCCGGCCCCGGCCACTCACGTCCCCGCTGAGGAGCTTGCAGTCCTCGTCGATCTCGTCGGCGCTGTCCTCGTCGGACACCTCTCCCTCCTCCGCGTCCTCGCTGATGTTGGCCGGGAGCTTCTTCCCCTGGGGGAGGGGGACGACGGGGCTGAAGACGTGCCGGGAGCCAGTGCGGGGCCACGGACCAGCCAGTGCCGGGCAGGTCTTTGCTCGGTGCCCCGCTCCGCTCCCTGCAGCGGCTGCGCCGCGGGAGGGACAGGCCGGCAGGTGCGCGCAGAGATGCCTGGCCCGTGACCACCCCAGGGAGACTGAGACCGGGCAGGAGGACGCGACGCCCACCCGTCGGGCCAGGGCCCACCTTCACCAGGATCTTGCCCCGGAGCATCTGCGGGGAGGGCAGCGAGGCGGCATCCTCGCTGCTCACTGAGGACAGGTCCAGCTTGTCCCCGAGGATATCCGTCAGGTACTGGGCCATTTTCTTCTGCTGGGTGACGCTGCAGTGGTTCTCGATGGACAGGATCACGGGGTACCTGCGGGCCCAAGGCAGGGGGCAGGTGAGGCCAGGGGTGGGGAGACGGGCTGCAGCAGCACTGGGCAGTGCCAGCGACGGCTTCGAGAAGCAACCGAGTGGCGGGAAAGGCGGGAGAGCCTTAGGGACAGGGAAGGCCGTGAGCCTCTCTCCCCAATTTAAAAAAAAGGCAATTAGAAACTCCAGGAAAACAAAACGTCTGAAAAAGTCACGGTTTCAAACGACGTGGACTAAACCGAGGCGCGATGCAGAGCAGCGGACAGGCCGGGAAATGGGACCCCGTGGCCCGGATGCAGGACGCACTGTCCTGCGAGCAGCCCCAGGGTCCCGACACGACCCCAGAGAGGGGACAAGCCTGGCGGGCGCCATCTGGCAGGACGCGGTCGCCACTGCGTGGTGCAGGGGAGCAGCACGCACGGGGCTCTACACTGTAAGCGTCTCAGCTTTATCTACTCTTAACCATGAGCACGTTTTACTTGGATTTTTACCAAAAGGCGACCGTGATTCTGTTAGAAAATGTAGGTGACCCAGGACGAGAGGGCGGGAGGGGAGCGAGTCCCGTCTGTGGGGAGAGCGAGGCCCGTCTGTGGGGAGAGGGAGGCACGCAGGGAGGACACTGTCTCCTGTTGGTTTCTTGGGCGGGAGCACGGACTGCGCTGGAGCAGGTGCCAGCCCCGCCCCGGACTCCAGCAGGCGGCTCCACCCGCCATCCCAAGGCCGCTCCCTCCGTGCTCCAGACGGGGGCGTGGGCCGCGCTTCCAGGAAGCGCTCTCCGTTCCTACTTCCTGAATCAGTCCTGCTTTTCCTGCCTCCCTCCGTGCAATTAGCTCCTTCCTGGCCCTTGAGCAGGACGCGGAGGTAACTGGCAGAGCGGGAGGCAGCCTTCTATTTCAGACACTGAATCGCATTCTCGTCAGCGGTGTCTGCGGCCACAGCTGAGCCGCAGCAAACTGAGTCTGGACACAGAGTGGCTACTCGGGGGTGTTTACGCAGCAGCCGCGGCTGCCGTGGGCCATGACCTGGGGGTGCCGGCAGGCGTGGGGACAGGCACCACGCCCTCCCGTCCGCTCCCCTCTGCCCAGACCTGCGGCCCAGTCCCTCCCCGGCCCCTCTCTCAAGGAGACACCCAGAAACAAGACCAGCCCCGGCCACTGCCCCCCAGAAATGACATGCGGGAGGGGCAGGAAAAGCAGGAGCCTGGAGCCCCTCCCCTGAGATCTCCCCCAGGCCCAGCCACTCACTCATTCTTGACAAAGGCATATTTGTTGATGGTTTCGATGACGTCTTTGAAGAGGATCTTGGAGGTCAGGGTGTAGCCGTGGTGCACAATGGGCTCCCCGTCAGGCCCGTCCCAGCAGTCCACTGTGGGCGGGCAGAGCTCAGCACCCGGGGGGCCGTGGACGCCCACTGGAGGCGCAGCCTCTTGCTCAGGGACGCGCACGCACGGACGCGGCCTTCCCGCCCCCCAGACCCCCCGGCGGCTTCTCAGGCCCAGCCCCTCTCCCCTCACCCTCCACGCAGCGGCAGCCGGCCTGCAGGACCCAGGCGTACATGTCCGCCCGGGACTGGGACATGAGCTGGTCACCCACGAGGTAGGTGTTGTGGGAGGAGGTGATGAAGTAGTGGCTCAGCGGCTGCGTCATGTCCTGGTGCACGCGGTGGTGCTGCGGGTTGAAGATGTCGCCCGCGGGGCTCCGCGTGTAGTTGGTGAAGCCTGCAGGGCGGGGGCGGGTCAGCCCCGCCTCGTCTCACAGCCGCTCCCCCCGTCACGCGGGACGTGGAGCCCCCGGTGCCCGCGGTCCCCCAGGACACCCGGGCGGAGGGCGGCGCCACTCACCGTCGATGCCGAGCACCCCCTTGCTCTTGTTCTCGGGGCACGGCTCGAACTGCGCGATGATGTCCCGGCAGCTCTCCAGGGTCACGCCCGTCATCTAGGCCACAGCAGGGGCAGGAACCCAGGCTGGCCCCTCACTGGCCTGGGCTGGCCTCGGGCGGCTCCCCCAGCCCTCCCTCCATCCCCCCTGGCCCCGGCCCTGCCAACCCCATCGGGGACAGCCGAGGTGGCGGGCCCAGAGTGGAGTGGAGCCAGAGTGTGGGAAGGCACAGCAGGGCGAGGACCCAGAGCCCGCCCGGGAGCCCCCGTCCCCCGGCCCCTGCCGTCCGCCCGAGTCCCAGCACGGTAACCCCTGCGGGACAGCCAAGCACCGCAGCCTGGCTCAACGCAGCCCCCCTTTGAAGGCCGAGGACCTCCAGGGCCCCGCGGTGCCGCCAGGGCCAGGAGCACCCAGGCCCCCAGGGCAGGCCCAACGGCGGGACCCCAGAGGTCCCCAGGACCGTTGTGGGGTAGCGGGGGATGCTCAAGGCCCGGGAGCCAGGCCAGGGGCTCAGATTCCCTGCCCAGAGGACACTGGTTTTTAGGGAGAAGTGCTGGAAGCTTGGGCCAAAGGTCAGGGAAAGAGGGATCAGGCCTGCCCTTCCCCCGCCCTCTGCTGCCCCACGTGCCTTTGCAGGATGGAGGCCGGGCTGTCTGGGACCACATCACCACAGCCGCGCTGCCCAATGACAGGCCAGCACGCAGCCGGGCTGGTGCTGCTTCTCCCACCTGGGCCAGGCCCTAGGGTGCCACCCAGCAGGACGGGGGAGCGTCTATGAGGGCTCCAGGGAGGTAACCTGCGCTGCGCCAGCCCCGAGGGCACCGTGTAGCCCAAGCCCCTCCCACGGGAGCTCTTTCCACTGGGGTCTCGTTTCCCCTCCCTGGCATGGCTGGCTGGGCTGAGGGGCCCAGACCCTGAACCTCTGGACACCAGGTCCCTGGTGAGTGGGGCAGGGCCCAGGCACCGGCCTGTGAGCATGGACAGGGCTCCCTCCGGCCGAGGGAAAGGGCCGCATGCCCCACTCGGCCAGCCAGGCGCGTGTGGCTGGGACCACAGAACCCCTGTCCACAGGACGCTGGACACCACAGCTGGTGCCGTGTAGAGCTGTGGCTGTCCCCCAGGGCTGCAGAGCGTCAACGGCCAGGACTGAGCCGGTCAGAGGCCGCGGAGGAGAAGCTGCAAACCTTTCCCGCCCACGTGGCAGCCCCAGGGGCTGCTCCCTGGAACATGGGGACTGAAGCCCACGGGGTGCTGGATGCTGCCTGTGACTGCCTTGTCCCCACGCCCTCCGCCAAAGCTCCGCAGCCTCACCTTCTGCTCCACCTCCAGGAAGCGCTGCAGGTCGGTGGGGTCCAGGTGGTCCTTGTGGTCGCTGTAGGTCAGCATGAGCAGGTAGAGGTCCCGGCGCGTGGACATCATCTTGTAGAAGGCACAGAACTCCTCGAAGCCCAGGGTCCCCTGGTGGTCATCCGTGTCTGCTTCCTGCAAGGCAAGGCCTCGGGTCCCATGCACAGCCCGCCCAGCGCTGCACCCGAAGGGCCCTGCAGGCCCGCCCCCTCCTCAGTCAAGGCCAGGCTGCGAGCCCCTCCTCCCCGCCTCGCCACTGCCCACGCCGCGGCCTTAGTTTGCTCCCTGGGCACATGCAGCCGTGGCTCGCTGGGCTCCCCGGTGCCCTCCCACCCAGAGAACAGGCAATGGCCTTTCGGAAAGACGCATATCTGACGCGCCCCTACGCGTCTGCATGCCTTTCAAGATCGAGCCACACTGGAGTCCACACTCCGCATGTGAGTCAAGAGCGCACTGGGCTGGCTAGCGGCCAGGCTGCCCAGATGCAAGCTGAGGTGCTGTAGGGCTCGGGGGGTCCCTGGGAATGGCCAAGAAAGGCTCCCATAGAAGGGGCTGCTTGAAACCCTTGAGGCCTAAAGATTGGGGCTTTATCCAGCGAGGGCGAGGGACCCCGGTGGGGTGGGGTGACCACATGGCCTCCTTGGCAGTGTTGGGGCCCTGGCGTGACGCCCCAGCTCAGGCCCCTCACCGGGAATGCCTGGCAGCGCCCAACCCCACACTCCACAGAGCAACAGAGCGCAATACATCAGGCTGGGGCAGCCCTGACAGCTCGTCACACACCTGCCCAGGTGGTCGGAGTCACAGAGGGCTGCTGGGGGACCGGTGGGGGGGTCAGCCACCCACCTTGGCCCTGACCCTCCACTGACAATGTGGCCAGAGGCTGGATCCCACATGCCTTGAAGGCAGGGTCCTGTCCCATGCCCCACCCACCCCCAGACCTGGACACACAGACGCATGGCTGGCACATGTCCCCAAATACTGGCCCAGTCCTTGGGCCTCCACAGAAGTTCCAGATTCTGTCCCCTGAGAAGTACAAGCACTTCCTAGAAGTAGGGGTGGCCCCACCCGCCACACCCACAGCATGGGGGCGCCTGGGCACTCCATGACTGGGGGTCTCGGATGAACCTCACTGGGGTCCTGCTCCCATCACCTGTGGGCTTAGGGGTGCTCTGAGCAGCCCACCCAGTGCCTCCCAGGGAGGCTGGGAACAGGCCACGGGGCTGTCCCCCAAGCTAGTCACACCTCTCAGGACACCACAGGGGAGGGCCCAGAGCAGGGCAGACGCTGGGCCAGCACCATGGACAGCAGCACACTCTGGCCTGCCAGCCACGGGAGCGACTCCCCACGTGGCAACGGTCTGGGCTGGTGGTGCCAGGTCCCCTCTGAGCCAGGAGACTCTCAAGAGCAATGTGGCCACAACCCCCTGCTTCCCTGTCCCCAGTGGAGTGGGCTCTGGGGCAGGCCAGGCCTTGACGGGCGCTCCTGGCTGCGGTACTTCCCTGGCACCGTGGCCTGGTGGACGCCCAGCAGGACCAAGTGCTCACGCCAAGGCTTGAGCCACATGTGCTGGGGCCCAGCAGATGCCAGAAGACCTGGTGGGTCTGGGCCGAGAGCCAGCTGCTCACTGCACCCAGGACAGCTGGGTCAGGGCACACGCTGGAGCGCCAAGGACCCCTCTGGGACAGGGAGCTGGGAGGGTGACCCTCCCAGGGGCCGTGGCCAGGGCCCTGAGTGGCTGTGCCCAGGGTCGGCCAGCTCCACTGCTCACCACGCCCGCAGTCCAGGGCGGCATCTGCCTGCTGGCCCCACGCAGGAAGGAAGGTGCTACGATGCTGAGGCTCTTGGGAAGCCTGAATCCAGCCCCGGAAATGCCCCCAGCGTGGTCACAGGGCTGTTCCTCCCACCAGTGGAAACGGCGCACCTGCAGGAACACCTCAGCCAAGCCCCTGCTGCCGGGCCAGGCCTCAGCGGCCCACGCGTACTCTCGGGCAATTGGGCCCACGTTGGGCCCAGCCCACATCTGCAATGCTCTGTTCGATTCAATGAAACTATGTCCAAGCTGCCTCTTTGCCCACTGCACAGAACTCCCCTCCGATCAGGCAATTCAGGGCAACATTGAGATTCTACTACATTGTTAGAGACCCTCGAACTGGGCTGCAGGCCACGTCTTCCCTCCCTCGGCCCCAGAGCACCTACAGAGGGTGGCCGCACAGGTGGGCGGGGAGGCCAAGTGCTCCCAGACCAGGTGCTCCCAGACCGGCTGGCCTGACCACCGTGGAGAAGGGCCACTTTGAGCTGCCCAGGGCTGGGGTCCGAGGCCCGTGGCTCCACGGCAACGCCCTCTGCCCCGGCTCCACCTGTCCTGGGCTTCCTCAGGAGGTCTGGTTGGAACGATGACAGGGCCAGGCCTGGGGCAGGCGTGGGGCCAGGGGGTGGAAGTGCGTGCCCAGAGGCCCACGGTCCTTCAAAAGGCGCAGGTGCGTGTGGCCCTCCCAGAGCTTTTTCAGGCAGAGACTTGGAGGGGGGGCCTGTGCACCTGCGTCCAATTCAAGGACGGGCGTTTGTCCCTCCTTCCGCTCCAAGGCCGCTCTCGGCACCGCATCCCAAGTCAGCCTGTTGCCTGGGCGAAGGCCTGCTGACCCCAGAGCTGCCCCAGGGTCAGGAAGGGAGTGTGGCTCAGCCTGGGCAGGCAGGGGTGCCAGGGTGCCGATGCCAGCCGCCCGCCAGCCCCCACTGCCCAGCAGACCCTGTCCCCCCCGGGGCCTTCAAGAGGGCCTGCGAGACTCTGCGGCACTCAGCAAGCCCCTGAGAGCACCGTCCCCTCACTCCGCACACGCCACGTGCTGCCCTCGCCCCAGCCAGGCGCGACCACCCACTGCGAGGGCGCAGGGCCGGCCTTGCGGAGTGTGTGTGTGCATGTGGATCGGGGCGTGCAGGGGCTGGCTGAGCTCGCGGGACCCTCTTTGCAGCCTGTGCCAAGGGTCGAGGCCTGAGGGCTGGGTCTGCCGGCTCAGCCCTCCCCACCGCCCGGCAGGACCTGCGAACAGGCGGAGCTCCTCTCGCCGCACCGCGGGGCTTCCGGAAAGAGAAACTAATTACAGACAATAAAGGCCGCGGCTCCGCTGAACGATGCATTTTCATAACTTCTAACACCAGGGTTGCTGTGGGCAGGAGGCGCGTGGGGCAGCAAGCAGAGCTGCTGCCTGACAGACAGGGCCCCGCCCGGGCCAGTGTGTCCCCATTAAGACTGGGGGGCCAGGGAGGGGTGCGGCTTCACTCGGCGCCCGCCCCGAATGCCGGCCCAGGCGGTGCTCGGCCCCTTCCTGCGAGTGGCAGCCGGCCCACCGCCCGCCCCACGGGCCCAGGGTGCAGTCAGCTGCCCCGTATCTGCCGCGGCCTCACCCTGAACATCTGCTTCACCCGCTGCCGGGGCAGGTTCACGTTGAGCTTGTGCAGCAGCTGCAGGACCTCGCCGATGCTCAGGCTGCCGTCCCCGTTCTTGTCCGCCTCGTCGAAGGTCTGCTTCAGCCACTTTGGGCTGAGTTAGGGGCCATCGTGGGTCCACAGGCCCAGCACGCGCCCCACCCCCAGCCTGGGGAGGAAGGAGTGGGGGACCCCGGCCCACGCGCCGGAACGTGCGACCCCACGGGGACCGCCGTGGGCCCGGCCCCGCCCCCCGTGCCCAAGGATATTGGTCCCTGGTGCGCTGGCGGCGGGCCAGGCTGTCCTCGTCGCTGATGCCGGCCATGAGGTAGCGCAGGCCGGTGACCCAGGTACGTGCCTCGTCTCCGCTGTGCGAGACCAGGTCGAGCGACTCGCGGGGGCTGCCGTGGTAGATGCTGAAGCAGCAGTTGGGGTCGAAGCTGCCGCCGGGGTAGCGCTGGAAGATCTCCGACTGCCGCCCCTCGCTCACCTCCTGGATGGAGTCGATGGAGACTGGGGGCGGGGAGGGGGCACCGGGTCACGGCCTCCCGGAGGCTCCACAACCCCCAGCCCAGAGCCCCCAGGATCCTGGTGGCCTGGAGCTCTGCCCTTCGCCACGGGACTCCAGCGTGGGGGCCCCCGCCCTGACGCTGTGGCCTGTCCCCCTTTCTCTGGGTGTGGAAAAGACACCCCCACAAGGGGAGGACCACCCTGCTCCCCTGAGGCGTCCGGCCGGCCCAGGATGCTGCATTTCACTGAGCCCGGAAGTGGGCAGCCGGCACGAGCCCGCACGTGTCCCCGTTCTGAGACAGGCGACTCCTGGGCCAGCGTGGCGAGAGCCCGCGCCACCTCCACCAGCTCCGGCCGGGGGTGGCTCTTGGGGTCCTGGCTCGGCGCTCAGGTCGCTGAGGGTTCCCTGACTGGCTGCGGCGTCCAGAGCCCCACGGGGCTGACCTGCCACACGTAGGCAAGCCCAGGGGTGCTTCAGAGTCTGTTCCCAGCCTCTGGCAGGGGACCCCTCCAAGGCCAGGGTGGTCGGTCTAAGCACCCAGCTGGGTCTCCCTGAGAGCTGGGTGGGAGGCGACATGAGGGCCTGGCCTGGCCGATGTCCCCCTGCAGGTCCTGCCCAGTCACCCCTTCCCCAGGGGCCTGCCGACCCCGTGTCCACCCGGTGCCCTCAATCCTGCTGTCTGCTGTCGGCAGAGCTGCCTTGAGGCTGTCCCAGTGCCCGGCTGGGGGGCACTCAGCACGTTGGGTGGCACTGCCCCCCACATCACTAGAACGCCAGCTCTGTGTCAGCCAACTTCCTGCGAGATGCCCAGTGCTGGAACAGTGCCTGGCTCAGAGCGGCCGCTCCCAACTGGGTGCCGGGGCTCCTCCTCTCCATGCAGCCTCGAAGCAGTTCCACGTCCCCTGGCTCAGAGGGCAGTCCCGGCCCTGCCCCCATACTGGTCTCTGGGGCCCAGGAGGCGCCACCTGCTCCAGGACACCTCGCCCTGGGGCTCGGCTATGCACAGGCCCTCCGGGGCTCTGCAACGACGCTCTCCTGGGGCCCCACGGGGGTTGCACCCTTGGCAACTGCAGGGCTGAAGCCCGTTCCTGGCACAGCTGGGTCCTTCCCATCAGCAAAGCCAGAGCAGGTCCTGGAAATGCCTCTGACCCTCGGGACCCCGACCCCGTCCCCTGCACGAAGCCTCCCAGCTCAGGTGGCCCCTGAAGCCTCCACAGCCTGAGCTGAGCCCTCCCCGCCAGGGGCCTGAGCCAGTGTTTGTAGCCAAGCCCCCCCAATGCACCTCACTGGGGTGCCCTCTTGCTTCCAGGGGCTCTGATGGCCCTTTGCCCCCCAGCCCAGCCCCGCGCCCAGCACAGGGCTGGCACTGGTGACCCCCTGTGCCCACTGAGTCCCAGGGAGCTCTGCTAGGCGGGCATGGGCCCTCCCCATGGCCCAGGGGTCACTACGGAACTCCAAGGCCACCTGATCCCAGAGCCACCGGCAGCTGCCCGGGAGGGATCCCCACCCCATGAGCCACCCCCCCACCTGCCGGGCCGGCCACTCACTCTTGGCCTTCTCGTTCTTGCGCGAGGGCCGCCAGCGGATGCAGGAGCGGTGCTCGTCCAGGTAGTAGAAGCGGGCCAGGCCCTTGGAGCTGCCGCGGAGCTTCACCATCTGCGTCCCCTCCTGCATGGCGCGCATGCATCGCTCCACTGCACGCGACGGGCGGACAGACAGACATCGCGCGGGTGAGTGCCACGGCAACCCCTCCTCACCGCGGCCCGTCCCGTGCCGCCCACCAGGCCACCCACTTGCCCACCACGGGGCCAGGGCCGACCCGGGGCTCCCTGCCACCCAGGTGCTGGCCGGGGACACTCCTCGATCACCCACCCAACCCGACTGCCCAGCGGGCCCCTGCCCTGCCCCGCTCAGCCACCGCCTCTCCCACCGCCGCCTGGACCAGGCCCTGCAACAGTAGGCAACCGCGTGGGCCTGGGGCCCTGAGGGGTCGTCACTCAGAGTCAGCATCAAACTCAGCAGCGGGAAGGGGGATGACACCCGGGGGCAGAGGCCAGCGGCTGTGCCAACTCTCAGGAGGCCCCCGTGCCTGGTGCAGGGCGGGCCCCGGCAACCCACAGCCAGCCCGGCTGCTGGCCGGCCCCAGGAGGCTCCCAGGAGCAGAAGCCTCCTTCCTGAGGGCCTGCAGCCCCTCCTGGGGCCCTTCCTGGAAGCCCCTGCCCCACACGCAGCAAGGACGATACTGCCTACGTCCACCCCCGAGCCATGTGTACCAGGGTGCAGGTCTGGGAGGCTGAGGGATGGGTCAGAGCTCCACAGCCTTCCCCGGGACCACCTGCCTCTCCCCTGCCCCCGCCCCGTCCATCGGCCTCCTGTCGTAGCTGGGCCCGAGTCCAGGCCAGAGTCAGCCGGCCCCAGCCCAGGGACAGGCTGGCCCCTGTCCCACTTGGGCCCTGCACTCCTGCTCACGGAGAGCCCAGGTCCCAGGAGGTGCTGCCTAGTAAGGCAGATAGCAATTAGCCCCCGCGAGGTGCTCCCAACAAGGGATGACAAGTGGGCGGTGAGGAGGACCATGGACAGTGCCAGCCCAGGAGGACTTCTTGGAGGAAGCTAACGTCTGACCATGAGCAGAAGGGAACTGCCGCAGGAGAAGCACGGGGAGGCTGGGGTCACCAGGGGACACAGGGAAGTGAGGACACAGGTGTGGCTGTGGGATGTAGTGGCACGTGAGGCAGGACAGGGACAGGCCCCAGAGGCCCCAGGGCATCTGGAGGCTGGAACAGAGACTCAGCCCTCCTGCCAGCACCGGCAGGCTTCCCGCACCCCACGCCAGCGTCTGGAGCCTCAGGGCTCTGTGTCCAGCACCAGCAGAAGCCCCCACCTTGGCTGAAGGTGCTGCTGCCCCCCAGAGAGCTAGGGACCCCCTCAGTGAAGCTTCAGAGCCACCTACATCCCCCACACGGCACATTGGACCAGGGTCCCAGCCTGACCCCCTGTCACCTGGGGTGGGGGCTCTGGGCAGCTGAGGGATGGGGCCAGCCGACATGCTGGACCCGCTGATCCCGAGAGCAGTGGGTGGGAGGCCCTGAGCCTTTTGCACCTCCAGGAGGGGCCCCACCCTCCCTGGGCACCTGGGCGGCCCCGCCCCTTCTTACCCAGTGGGCCGAGCTGCCACCTCGAAGACAGCACCACACTCCCTCCAACCCAGAGGAACACCTCCGCCAGGCAGGCCACCGTTCTCTGGGCCCCGCTGTCCGTAGATGGCCAGGGGCTGGACATGCCCAGACGATGGCGGGGGCTGGCTCACGAAGGCCAGCGAGGGCCACCCCGTGCTCAGCTGCAGGCCCGGCAGAGGCGGCGTTGGACGCAGGGGCTCCGTGGGGCTCCCCTTCTCTCCTTCACCTCCTCCTCCCCCTCAGCGCCCTCCAAAGCCCCCACAGGGCTGTTCCCAGGCCCCAGTGGCATTGGCCCGCTTGTCACTTGCTGTCCCAGATGGCCCCCAGGCCAGACCACTACCCTCCAGGGCCACCAAGGAGTCCCTGAAGAAGCTGCGTCCCAGGGGCTGGGGGCAGGGCAGGGCCTCCGCCCCACCCACCCTCCGGCCAATCCCCTGCGCTAATCCCAGCCAGGATCCAGCCCAGCTGGCCCGAGGATTGAGGCCAAGGGAGCTCCCAGCTGGCTGCAGGACGGCTGGATGCAGCAGTGCTTCCCAAGGCCCAGGCCCCCGACCCCTCTGGGGGTTGAGGAATGACAACAGGACCAACGGGCGGCCCCTCCTGGGAACCCAAAGGATGCAGCTGTGAAGCCCAGGGGCACCGGTCTCATGGACCCCCCCCCCAGGGAGCATAATCAGACCCCGTGGGGCGGGTCTCCCTGCCATCCTGCCCACGCCGGGTGCCCAAGGCTGGCATCCCACCCCCGCCGTCCCAGCCTGGGCCCTGGGGAAGTCCCTGCTCTCGTCCCCACACCCCTCGTGCTGAGGACCTCCTGACGGACCCCTGAATCCCGAGGGCGGACGGGAGGCCAGGCAGCCCATCCCCTGGACGTGCCCAGGCCTGTGACCACCCTTGGGAGCCGCCAGGCCTCCTCCCCCTGCCCACCCCAGGCTGTGCTGGCCCCAGCGAGATTCTCAACCCTCTCTCCCCACACGGACGGGAGGAGCCGGAAGCTGGGCAGCTGGAGAGCCGCGGGCGCTGCGGTCGGGGGCGGCGGGCCGCGCGTTCATGGCCAGGGCATTGCGGCTGGCCACAGAGAACAGGACCACCCCCGGCCAGATCCCGTGTAATCAACTCAAAGCCAAACCCCAGACCCAATTAGGGGCCTTTGTCACAGAGGCTCTGACCGTTCGCAGGTCAGGGGGCAGCTCTGCGCTTTCTGCATGGAATTAGATTAGGGAGCCATTAGCCGCAGGGACAGGAAGGGGGCCCAGTCCTGGGAGTCCTCAGGGAGATGGGGTGCAGGCCCTGACAGCACGGCCACTGTGCAGGGGGAGCCCAGAAGCCCCAAGAGGCGGGTCCAATTACCTAGGGACGGACGGGCGGCCTATGGCCCGGTGCCCCAAGCTACACGGCCGTCCTTGCCCGACCCTTCCTTCATGCGTGTCTGGAGGCCCCGGGCCACTTGCCGCCACTCTAACGCCGGCAGCGGCCGGCACCCGGGAAGACCCGTCTTTGCTTCTCTGCCCGCACCTCCCTGCCCCGGGATCCACCTGCTCTTCCTCACCCTGGGCCCAGCCCCAGTCTGGGCACTCCCGCCTCCCACTCATCCCCTCCAAGCCCCCCGGCTGTCCCGGCCCCCTCCGTCCCTTGAGCCATCAGCCACAGCTGGTGCCTCCCCCACCTGCCTGAGCAGGGCTCTGAGAGGGGCACAGTGAGTGCCAGGCCCAGCCCTGCAAGGTGGGGCCCAGGCCCCTGCACCCCCACTCCCAACCCCAGGCATGATCCTGCGCTGAGCAGGCGGAGGGAGGCCCAGCTAATCCGCCCTGACGCAGGACGCGGAGCCTCCCCCACGGCCCTGAGGGCCAAGGTGACCCCCACCCCCTCCAAAGGACGGACGGACACAGAACCGCAGTGGGGAGTAAAGCCAGGGGTGCCCTGGACTGCAAACACCCCCATGGCACGGCTGAGCCAAGACCAGGCAGACGCCACGCCCAGATTGCTGGCCATGGGGGCCTGAGCTGCCACCAGGCCCCGAACCCGACGGCTCGGCCGCCCCGCGCCAGGAGAGGCAGCCCCCGTCCTCAACAGAGCCACGTCCCCGCGTGTGCAGCACACCAGCCCCCTCCCTGTAGCTCCTCAAAGGCACAAGGGGGGCAATGCCAGCCAGGACCCCCCTGTCCACATGGGGTCACCCAGCCAGCCCCACCCTCTCTTCCTCAGCGTCACACGCAGGGCCAGGGCCAGAGACCCCAGAAACCCTGACCCCATGGGCTGCCGGAAAGCAGACCCAGGGCCCACACCTGGAGGCCAGAGGGGCCCCACCCCCCACAACAAGGTCATGAAGGCGGCCACCCCTCCCCCACGCCTCGCCACTGCCTGGCCCTGCATTCACCCCGCCTGCCCCAGGCCGGGCACTGGCTGCCCCCAACAGCGCTCTGCCCTGCAGGTCCTCACAGGCTTCGGGCCCCAACCACAGCCGTGCCCCCTCAGGCAGTGCCCCCCAGCTCCTCCTGCAGAGCCCCCAGCCCCGGCCCAGCTACCCTGCACCTGCCCCCACAGGGGCTCAGGTGGCCACAGAGCACCACAGCTGGCCTCAGCCCTGCAGGAGGCTGGACCTGCCACCAGGACAACCCCTGTGGCCCAGGCCAGGCCAGGCGGGGGCCAGCAGCTGGGGGGGGGAGGCAGGGCCCTGGCCTCACTGTTCACCGCCCCCCAGGTCCCTGCACACGGCAGCGGCACCCCAGCTCTTGGAGCACCGGTGGGACCTCAGGGCCCTGGGCCCCGCTCTGTCGCTGCAAGGCCGCGACCCGGCACACAGCAGGCGCTTGCTGGGCCAGTGTGGGCCAGTGGGGACGGACAGGACTGCGGAGAGCCACGGCCACCAAGCCTGCTCTGGGAGACAGGAGCCAGCACCCTGCACAGCTGTCACCCTCGGTCCTAGAGAAGCCTGGTGCATGGACGCACAAGGACAGACAGGTGGACGGGCAGGGCCACCCCCGGCAGGGGCGAGGCCATAGGAGGGCTCCGTGCCGACACCCAGAGGAGGGTGCCCAGGGCCCTGCCTGCCCGGGAGGGAACAGGAGACCCAGACCTCCCCTGGCCTTGGGCGGGTCTCCCCTCTGTGCCTCAGTTTCCCCTGTAGCCCCTCCTTTCTTCCCCGGGCCCTGCATGGGACGGCAGCAGGCGGCGGCTGCTTGAGGATGAGGAGTCAGCGCTGTCAGGAGCCAGGACAGTGTGGATGTGATTGTGTGTCTACGGCGGAGATCGATCCTGTGCTAACACAGCCAGCGACACGCGCCTCGCGGCTGCACTGACAAGAGGCCAGGGGCAGCGCGGCATCCGCCTCTCCCCGGGGGGCTGGAAAATCAATTTAATCTTCCAACAAAACCCTCAGATCACACCCACAGGCTTCCCCCTTGTGTGCATGTCCAGGGGTGCCTGCAGGTGCCACGGCCCCCCACAGCGGAGTGCGGGGACTGCACACGCCCTGTCCGCTGACCCCAGGGCACGGGGGACAGCCCGGCACCCGCCCCAGGTCTGGCCCGGCCCCCTGAGCCCCTTCCTCTTCTGATACGTCTTGGCCTTTCCACAGCGGCTTCTGAAGGACCCTTCCCTCGTCCGCCCTGCTTAGAGCGCCCAGCAGCAGTGGCCCGACAGCCTGTCCCCTGCACAGCCCTGCGGTCCCCGGTGGCCACCTCTGCGTGCAGGAGGCACTCAGACAGTGCTTGGGGTGGGGAGGAGGGAGGAAGCGGCCACCTGCCCCAGCCCTGCGGGATCATCCTGGCCCCTGGCCCGGCGCCCCATGGGAGGGAGGCCGGGCCCACACACATATGGTGGAGATTATTTAAACATCTGAGAGAAGCGACTGGCCCCCCCGCACGTCTGGGCGCCTCCTCCGACTATTTTTACTTTATCAGAGTGTGAGTCGGCTTCCTGGACCGCCCCCCAGGCAGGACCCCCCGTGGCTGTGCCGGGCGGCAGCGGGGCAGTGGGGCATCGGCAGGCTTGGCCGTCCCCAGAGAAGGCTGGGCAGGGAGCAGCAGGGCCTGGAGCCCCACCTGCCCGGATGTGTCCTTCTCCCCGAACTACGCCCTCTCCGCGTGGCGGGCAGCCCGGCCCTCGGCCGCAGAGGGGAGAATTTGGAGGGCGAGAGGCCCAGGCCCACAGCGCCGTCCCGAGGGCAGGCGGCAGGACTTGGCCCACTTGGGCCACTTGTGGCCCCACCCTCCCGGCCTGTGCACAAAGACTTGAGTAGGGGTCAGGGGCTGTGCGTCCTGGAGGGTGGGGACAGACTCTCGAGGGCCAGCCGTGCTCCACCCGTCACACCAGCTGATCCATTCCTGCGCCCAACCCCCAGAGCAGGGTCAGCAGATCCGGGCCCACCCCCGCCGGTGGCACCCACTGCTGCGAGAATAATCGGGGCCCCCTCTGGGCCCACAGGGAGGGTCACCCCATGGGGAGTGGTGGACAGAAGGATTTCTGACGGTCACAGGCGTCCGGAGCTGTCCCAGCTGCATGGGAAGGGCCAAGCGTCAGGAGCTCACACTCACGGACGTCCCAAGCAGCTGGCAGTGGACGGGACATTCCCTGAGGCCGTGGCTCCCAGTGCCTGCCCCCAGAGGAGCCCCTCACTCTGCCTCCCTCCTGCTCCGGCCACGGGGGCCTGGTGACTTCAGCCCAAGGAGGCACCAACATCTGGCCTTTCTCTGCCTGCCCAGCAGAGCTCGGGGCCTCCTCACACTGGTCGAGCCATGTCTTGGCCATAGCGGGGCTCCCTCCTGGGACAGGCTCCCCATTCCTGCCCCTTTCCGTCCCCGATCCCCAGTCGGCAGCGTGTGGCAGCTCAGCTCACAGCAGTGGCATTAATCACATACGACAGTCCAGTGGGGAAGAGGACTCTGCTAGTAGCCCATTTCCCCATCCCTGGAGGTGTCCCTCATTCACATGTCCCTGGGGGCTCTGTCCCCACCACAAGTCACAGTGGCCTCCTCTTCACTCCCCGAGCAGGGCACAGCCGTCGAGGGACACAGCTGCCCCGGCTGGCCTGGGGCTCTCTGGAGGCAGGTGCGTGGCTGCTGCTGGCCCCAGGCCACTGCCCAGGACACCCCCGGCAGAGCTGGA